AATACTTCCTCTAGCCGGAACATTTCCTCATCAAAAGTTGTTGCAAATACAATGACATCATCCAGGTACACTAGGGCTATCCTCCATTGTAGGCCTCACAAATGTTGCTGGAGCATTACTAAGCCCGAATGGCATCACTTGGTATTGCCAGAGACCTTGGCGATAACTAAATGCTGTCTTAGGTCTATCTGCTTCAGCCATTTTTACTTGATGGAAACCTGACTTTAAGTCCAGAGTTGAAAACCACTTGGCTCCACTTAGGGCATGAAGAGTATCATCAATTCTTAGCAGTGGGTATGAGCCCTTTTCGGTTACACTGTTAAGAACCCTGAAGTCTACACAGCAACATTGGGTCCCATCCTTCTTCTGGACTAATACAAAAGGAGCTGACCAGGGACTATCTGATTTCTCGACTATCCCTTCCTTAATTAGACCATCCATGACCTTTTCTATCTCTTGTCGCTTTGCTGGAGCTATTCTCCTCAGAGGGATCTTTATTGGACAGTGATTGCCTGTGTTTTTTCTGTGCTCTAAAAGTTTTGTGCAGCCGAGGTCATGATCTCCTTTCGAATAGATGTCTGCATAATTTGCCAAATGGACTATGCTCTTCTTATAGAGGTCAGTTAAATGTTTTGGAAGTGTATGTCCTTTCTTTACAGTTGTGTTTTTTGCTTTAACATTGACTGGCTCTACCTCCTGGCACACACCCAACAATGCCCCTTTTTTAAGTGTCTACTCACATTTAGAGAAATTGGCCATTGTTATAGGTACTACTTGATGAGCTGCTACAAGTTACCTTCCAATCTTCAAATCCACTGGCCTGGATGTGTCTTCTACTGCTTCCACAAGCATTGGGCTTCCTTGGGGATGTTCTTTTATCCTACCCCAATTTATCTTCTCTCACATAGGGGGTATTGTAGTTGACTTAAGTGCTGTGACATGCAGATCAACGGATGCTGCAACACTTACTGGAATCTGGCCTTTGTTGTTTCCAAACGTCATTTTATCGAAGTTAACTACACATTTCCTCGGTAGTAAATAGTCCAATCCTAATATGCATTGGTCTTCAATGCTAGCTAAGTATACTTTGTGTCTGTTCTTCATGCCCATGAGCTCAATACTTACCCACTTTGGTCCTCACAACCTTGCATAATGTCCTGTCACACCACAGAGCTTCTGTACAGC